GATTCTGAACACGGTCTTTAATTAGTTTTTTAAAAAGAATTATATGATTTTATTTTTTTAAGATCGTTTGGCAAATCAGTACGTATGTTTGATGCTAAACGCGTATAATGAATATGTATTTCTTTCTTTAATGTGAAATAATTATTTAAACAGTTTGGTAGGTCATGATTGAAATAAGCGTACACAAATAGTGCGGTTAGATAGGTATTCAGCTCATTTTACAAATGACTTGATTGATATGATGTTTTCATGAGAGTTGCTCGTCTTTACGTACGCCTAAAACTTTTGTCTTTTTAACCTGATCAATAAGTTCATTTATTTTGATTGTGATGTTTTGATTTATTTTCTTCCCTTTTAATTTAAAAACAAGAAGTCGCCTGGAGGCGCTTACGCGGGATGTGTTGGTGTAAGTAAGAATTATGTTGAATGGCATTGGAAAATGTGTGTAGGGGAGACGGAGATGTTCTGTTAAATACACTAGAAGATGAGTTACACACAAGGGTTTCTTTGCTCCTCTAAACAAAACTTACATCAATATCACCACCATATATGTTAAGAGTATGGGGTAGTTCACTAAAATCTGCATTCCGGCTTTACTAATATCCTCAATAAATTCTCCTCCCCATTGAACAATAGCATGTAATGTATCAGACTTCCAATGAATAACTACAAGGCGCAAGGCTGTGCTCTAAGAAAAATTGTCAGGGAGCCTCTGAGGTCCCTATGCCTAGAAGATAATCGCCTAAATAAAATTTTAGGGGACCCCTTCAGGCTCCAGAAACACTTTAGTAAGGGTGCCGAGCCTCCCAGTTGGTCACCCAAATTAATAAATTAATGAGCTTTTAGATGATTACTAAAAATCAAACAAATTATTTTCTAAACAAGAAAAGCATAACCTTGTGTTTTGATTTTTTATGTTCAAGAAAAATCACATCCTTTGACTTCCTTAGCGTAAGAAAAAAACCTCGCATGTTGTCACATGCGAAACCCATAACAGTGCAACGAAACCCATAAAAGTGTTCGCGCCATATGAGAGACAAGGGCAAGGCCGCAGAATACTTCATAGTTTTTAAATGCCAAAGGGGACACAAAGGACGCAGGGGACACATTGGACACAGGGAACACAAGAGTCACAGGGGACACAAGGAAACATAGGAGACGCAAGGGATTCAAGAACCCAACACCTGCATGTCGACGCTTTTATGACTAAAGAACAAATTCGTGCCACTAGCAACGAGAATGACTGTTAATATATTAGAGCATTTAGGAATATTATTCAAATAAATAAGAAAGGGGGGGGGTTAGCTTATGTTCCGGACTAATGATATTTGCTTTGCCATTCAGCACTTGATTTGTCAAAACCACCTTCGCCGTCTGTATGGAACGTTCAGCAGTGTAATATTTAAGCCATGAAACTACATCATGTAAACGAACCATGTGCTAGTCCTCCTTTTTTAATGTACTGCGCAAGTGAAAAATACAAGGAACCCGGAACCTAATATATTACACTCCTCCCGAATAAATGGGTTGGTTAGCATAACAACAGCAACAAGAAAATGCACGTCTAACAGATAAACAATGTTCAGCGTTCGTCATCTACTTGAACAATGTTCACATTTCACATATGAGTCTGCGTGGTGGTCTCCTTTCCCGACTTGGGTACCTCAGTGCTGGGTGCGGTGACAATGGTGTCACTGAGGGACTTCCTCCCTCCAAAGCGTCTCCCAATGATGATTCTGGTGTCACCTCAGTTGTGTCCTGTTCCCCCACGTCACCTGCATCAGGAACTCCTCATGCCTCGGATGTATTAACCAGTGGTTCAGAAGGACTCCACGCTCCACTCTTCACTTCGGTTTGGGAACTTGGGAAGTTCCGTGCGTAATTACTATCTTCCTCGCCCTCCCAAGAGCTTGAGGACTGGATCCAGAGAGCACTCTTCAAATGGTCCACGTGGACAAATCGTATTTGATCCTCACAGCGGACTAGGTAAGTGCGGGGACCTTTCACCTGAGCGATCCTTCCGCCACGCCGCCAATTACGAACCAAGACCACTTCATTCAACTTGAACTCTCGGAGTTTCACTCGTCCTTCATCGTGGTGCTCTTTCTGCCTCAACTGTTGGTCCTCCACGGCTCTGTTAACGTTGGGTTTCAGTAATGAGAAACAGTTCCTAATCTGTCGTCCCAAAAACAGCTCAGCGGGGGATTGCCCAGTGACAGTGTGAGGTTTGCTACGATTCAAAATAATAAAGTTGGCCAGCCTATGCTCCAGACTGAGGGAATTTGCTTTGCCATCCAGCACTTGCTTGGTCAAAACCGTCTTGGCAGTCTGTACAGAACGTTCAGCAGCTCCATTAGATGCAGGATGGTACGGTGGAACCCGGGTAAACTTGACTCCATTCTGCTCCAAGAATTGAGAGAACTCTTACAATGCTAGCTGCGGTCCATTGTCCGAAACCACCTCTTCCGGTATTCCGTAGCGTGCAAACAACGAGCGAAAAAACCTCGATGGTTTTCAAACTGGTCATGGAACCCATGGGCGTCACCTCCAACCACTTGGAATAGGCATCAACAACAATCAAGAAATTCAACTTGCCCTTCTCAAAGAAATCAATGTGGATACGCTCCCATGGCTTAGGAGGCCATTTCCAAGGGTATAATGGTGCCCTTGAAGGGAACTTGCCCAAGGCAACACAAACATGACATTGCTGAACCCTCTCAACAATAGCAGCATCCAATCTGGGCCACCAAAGACAACCCCTCGCCAGCAGATTCCGTGATGCTCTTGGTGAAAGTCATCCAACTGACGAACACGATACTTCTCAGGAATAACCACACGTAAACCCCACAACACACAGCCTCGGTCAACAGAAAGTTCTTGCTTTCCTGAAAAGTAACGCTGCAACACTGGAGCATTGAGCGCTTGGGGCCATCCATGCAAAGTGAAGTCGTACAGACGAGCTAAAACCGGGTCTTTTCTAGTTGGAGCCGCAATGTCCCGGGCTGTAACTGGAAGTTCCTCCAGGTAACTGATCAAATACACCTCTTCCTTCTCCTCTTGCTCTTCTAAAGATGCCTGTACCAGTCTTGACAAAGCATCTTCATTTACATGTTCAGCAGACTTCCTATACTCAATTTCATACTAATAAGCTACTAAAATCAAAGAACACCTTTGCATTCTTGCTGCGGCCAGCGGGGGTTCACCAGTCTTCGGCCCAAGAATTGTGACCAGCGGCGATGATCTGTAAGCAATGTAAACCTCCGACCATACAGATACGAATGGAACTTTTTCACTCCAAACACGATGGATAAGGCCTCTTTTCTCTATTTGGGAAAAGTTATGCTCACTACCTGTGAGAGTTCGAGATGCAGAAGCAATAGGCTTTTCCTCGCCGTTCTCCATAACATGAGAGATAACCGCTCCTACCCCACAGGGTGATACATCACAGGCTAGCCGAAGTGACTTCTTCAGATCATAATGGACCAGCAAAGGAGAATCTTGTAACTGCTTCTTACTGTTAACAAACGCTGTCTCGCACGCCTCCGTCCACTTCCAACGTCTATCCTTTTGCAAAAGGTCATGAAGAGGATGCAGTGTAGTCCCCAGATTGGGCAGGAACTTGCCATAATAGTTAAGCAGTCCCTGATACGACTTCAACTCTGTGACATTTGTAGGACTCTTGGCTTGCATGACTGCATCCATCTTCTGAGGGAGGGGACGAATGCCATTCTTGTCAATCCAGTGTCCAAGAAACTCGAGGCCCGACTGGAAGAAAATGCACTTCGCTGGATTCAACCTGATGCCATGTTCTTGTAAGCGCCTGAAAACGTCCTCCAGGATTGCCAAGTGTTCCTCAGTGGAACCCCCTGAAATCAGGATGTCATCCAAACGGCAAACTGTGAACTTAACCCCCTGTAGAAGCTGATCCATGATCCTTTGAAAAATACCTAGTGCACTAGAGACTCCAAACGGCAGCCGTTTGTAACGGTACAAACCCTTGTGTGTGTTAATTGTTAGGTACTTCTGCGAGTATTCATCCAGCTCTACCTGCTGATACGCGTGAGATAAATCAATCTTGCTAATACTTGCTAATACCCCAGCTAACGTCGCAAAAAATTTTTCTGTATTAGGCAAAGGGTACTGGTCGACATCGGCACATTGCTTCACTGTCATCTTGTAGTCGCCACACACTCTCAGTGAACCATCTTTCTTGAGGACCAACACCACTGGTGCAGCCCAGTCACTTTGACTTACTTTGCAGATAATCCCTTCATCCTCCAGTCTCTGAAGCTCCTGCTCCACCTTTTCTTTAAGAGCATATGGAACGGGTCTTGCTTTCAGAAATAGGGGCTGTGCACCTTCACGGACCTGAGTGGAGGCTTTATACAGTTTGATGTGTCCATACCCCTTCTCAAACAGGGCTTCATACTTAGCAAGGACATCCTCCACGGCAGGCACATGAGACACCGTGAAGATGGTGGACCAATCCAGATCCAGTTTCTCAAGCCAATTACACTCAAGCAACACAGGCTTTTTTCCTTTAGCAACCACCAGAGGTAGTTACATTTCCTGGGTCTGATACTTAACAGCGACTCGAATCTCCCCCAACAAGGGTAATGACTCACCAGAATAGGTTTTCAAGTGGAACTGCGTTGGCTGCAATTTGAGATGCTTAAACCACTTCTTTTACTCCACCTCAGAGAAAATGGACACCGCTGATCCCGTGTCAACTTCCATGCTGACTGGCTTACCCTCTAACAACAACTGAACTTGAAACCCTGATCCACCTTGTCCTTTATACTTGAGAGTGTACAATCCCAGTCCAGACTGCTCTTCAGTAGTACTCATAGGTGAATCAACCTCCAAATGACACGTGGATTGTATCTTTCCTTTCTTATCGCACATCTTAGCAAGGTGACCCTTATTGTGACACTTGTAACATTGTACCGACCTGGCCCAGCACCCTGATGGAGAATGTTTTCCACCACAATGAAAACGACTCACGGCGTCTCCAGTCGAATGCCCTGAACTGGCATATATGCGACCTTATTGACGTTATCGTCCACTGGCACACTGTTGTCTCGAAAATCTTCTTTGTTGGCTAACTCCATGGATTGTCCTGTTTCAAACGCTTTGTCAAAAGTCAAGTCTCTCGCTGCCAACAGCTTCTTCTGAATTTGCACGCCTTTCAATCCACAAACGAGACAGTCCCTTGACGCTTCTTCCAAAAAAGTTCCAGATTCACACTTCAACGCCAGTCGCTTCAACTCAACTACAAACTGTGCGACCGTTTCACTCTCATGCTGGTTCCGACGATGAAATTTGAAACGTTCTGCGATCAAAATATGTTTAGGCGAGTAATGTGAAACCAAAAGCTCTTTCAACTCATCAAAAGACTTATCTTTCTGAAGTTCAGGGGCTAACAAATTCCTCAGCACGCCATATGCATCTGCCCCAATTAACGCTACAAACGTAGCAACTTCGTAATCCACTTCGACGCAATTCGCCGCAAAATACAATTCCACTCGTTCTATATAACTGGCAATATCTTCTTTCCCGTCGATATATTCTCCTACTTGCCCCACGAGCGCCATCCTCGTCGCCAAAAATGTAATATTTAAGTCAAGAAACTACATCATGTAAACGAACCATGTGCTAGTCCTCCATTTTTTTAATGTACTGCACAAATACAAGAGGGCCTGGAACCTAATATATTACAAGCAGACTCCTTAGATTCGGGATGGTACGGTGGAGGGTAAACCTGACTCCACTCTGTTTCATGAATCGGAGGACTCAACGGCTGCTAGCTGAGATCCATTGTGTGAAACCACCTCCTCTGGTATTTCGTAGTGGTTTTTAAGCTGGTCATGGAGCTCATGGAGATTACCTCCAACGACTTGGAGTAGGTACCCTCAACAATCAACTTGCCATTCTCAAAGAAATCAATTTAGACACACTCCCATGGTTTAATAGGCCATTTTCGTGGGTGAAATAGTTCCTTTGGAGAAGAATTACCCAGGGAGAAATAGACATGACATAGCTGAAGCCTCTCGGAAATGGGAGTATCCAACTCCAGCCACAACAAATAACCCTAGCAAGAGACATCATGGGATGCACTTGCTGCAAGTCATCTTACAGACGAACAGGATACTTCTCACAATACACAGCCCTGGTCGACTGAAATTTCATAGTAAGGAAAGGAAGGATTTAACAGTGTATCATCTTACGTTTGGGGCTATCCATGCGAGGTGTGTTCTAGAGTGTATGATTTCACTCAACAAATGACGCTACCATATTGGCCTTTAGTAATCATATTGATTTTAATGAATTCATCCATCTTTTTTCATCACCGCTTCAGGTGACGCATGCACAGTGTTATACTTTCCTTTCTCTCTAAAGAAGCTCTTAGCCAATGCAAATTCTAAGTATTGTCAGATAACGGAGAAAACGGGAAACTGGGGCCTTCCCTACGGGCGCTTTCTCTCCCCCTTCAAGTTTTCCACTAGCGCTCAATAAAAAAAATATCTAAATAAACTAACCAGCGTTAACTACCCAGACTTGATGAAGTTGAGCTAAAACAGGATCTGTTCTGCTATCATCTGCCAACAACGTATATCTCCGACCAGGGTCGAACGAAAAATTTCACCCGAAACATAATAGACAGAGCCTTTTCTCATTTTGCGAATAGTTACGATCACTAACCGAGGCCTATAACGGCAAAGGCAAAAGGCTTTTCCTCACTATTCTCCATGACGTGCAAGATTAACGCGCCTACCCCGTAGGGCCATGCATTACAGCCCAGTCTTAGCAGTTTCTTTAGTTCATTAAGGACCAGCACGGGAGAATCTTGTAACTGCTCTTTACTCTTTACAAATGCACTATCACGCTCCTCTGTCTACTTTCAAGCTCAATCCCTTGGAAAAGGTCAAGGAGTGGACGCAGCATAATCGCCAGGTTTGACAGACACTTTCTAAAAAAGTTGAGACTCCCCAGATTCCACTCCAACCTCCAACTCTGAGACATTGGCAAGACTCTTGGCTTTCATGATCACATCCAACTTCTGAGGGAGGGAAAGAATGCCATTTTAGTCAATTCAATATCCAAGAAACTCGAATCACGACTGGAAGAAAATGCACTTGGCATGACCAAAAACCTCCTCTAGAATTGCCAGAAGTTCTCCCGGGGAAACTACTGAAATCAGGATTTCATCCAAAGGGCATACCGTGAACTTTACTCCCTGAAGAAACTGATACGTACTCTCTGAAAAATAGATAGTGCACTTGAGACTCCAAACGGCAGTTGTTTGTAAGGGTGAAGCCCTTTTGTGTCAATGGTCAGGTGTTTCTGAGAATCTATATCCAGTTCAACCTACGGATAGGCTAGGCCTGAGATAAATTTATCTTGCTAAAGACTTGTCCCTCAACCAATATCGCAAGCAAATTTCTGTATAAGGTAAAGGTCTCTGGGCGATGTCAGCTGCACATGTTTCTTTTCTGTCAACTTTAAGTCGCCACAAACTCTTAGTGAGCCATCTATCTTGGGGATCAACACTACTGTGGCAGCCCAGTCACTTTGGGTCAGTTTGTAAAGGATATCCTCTTCCTCCAGTCACTGCAGCGCCTGCTCTGCTTTTCTTTAAAACATATGGAACTGGTCTTGCTCTCTGGAGGATGGGCTGTGTACCCTCAGGGACCATAATGGAGACTATAAACCGCTGAATGTATCTATGACCTTTTTTTCAATAATGCTTCATGTTAGAGAAGATACCTTTCACAGCAGGCACTTGAGACACCTCTAAGATGGTGACCACTTCAGGTTCAATTTCTGGAGTCAGCTCCACCCAAGAAGCACAGGCTTTTCACATTGAACCACCACAAGAGGAGGTTGCATTTCCTGGGTCTGGAACTTCGCAGCTACTTGAAGTTCTCCCAACAAGGGTAATGGCTCAACAGAAAAAGATTTCAAGTGGAATTGCGTTGGCTGGAATTCAGAGCCAATGGCCAACCCTAGTACAGTTTTAACTTCCATGCTGACTGGCTTAACCGACCCCCCCCCCCCCCCCCACCACCAACAAGGGGGGTTGCCTTTCCCTGGTCCGGAAACTCGGAGGTTCTTTGAAGTCCCCCCAAAAGGGGAATGGCCCAAAAAAAAAAAGATTTAAAGGGGAATTGGGTTGGTGGGAATTAAGGGCAAAGGCCAACCCCAATTCAGTTTTAACCTTCCTGCTTGCCTGGTTAACCCGCCCCCCCCCCCCCCAACCTAACAATATCTGGTCTTTAAAAATACTGATACACCCTGCCCTTTTGACTGGCTTAACCGACCCCCCCCCCCCAACCTAACAATATCTGGTCTTTAAAAATACTGATACACCCTGCCCTTAAGGTTTTGAGAGTGTGCAATGCTAGTGCAGAGTGCTCCCCGAGGGTACTCATATGTGAACCAAACTCCAGCTAACGCGGGGAATTCTACTTGCTTTCCTTATTAAATATCTTAGCAAGGTGACTCTTGTGTGACTTGGCCTAACACTCTGTTGGAGAATGCTTTCCACCACAAAGAAAACAACTCATTCGATTGCCCTGGAATGACAGATTTGCCGACAACCTTCTTTGTTGTCCTCCTTAGATTGTGCTGTTTCAAACCCGTAAAGTCAAACTCAAGTTTCTCCCTGCCATTAACTTCCTCTGAATGTGAATGATTGCCCATCCGTATAAAGCGAGACGCTCCCGAAACGCTTCTTCCAAAACAAGTTCCAAAATCACGATTCAACGCCAGTCGCCCCAACTCAACCTTACACTGAGCGACCGTTTTGAGCTCAAGCTAGTTGCGATGATGAAACTTGTAACGTTCGGCTATCAAGATATCAAAATAGGTTGGGAGATCAAAAGCTCTTTCAGCTCAGAAAAAGTCCAATCTTTAAATCAGGGGTTAAAGCGACATGCAGGACTCCGATCAACGCGCGAAAGGTAGTAGTTCCATTGTCCGCGTTGACTGGATAAGACAGGGTATTCTTCCTCATTTCGGAGGAGTAGTCTCCACAACTGATGATCAGATATCATTTCCTCGCTAAAAGGTTTTCAATTCCTACTTTATCGATGGTCGAGTACTCTTCAAGATATTTACTTGCTATATCGTCTTCGACGATTTGTTTCTGAATTGATTAGAACGCGTCTGTAAATAGGCGAAAATCAAGGAAACGTGGTGAACATGGCGCGTCAAGTCAATCAGCGCCGAAAATAAACCGCATGCCCATCGCAAGACTCCTTTGCAACACCCTACCAGTTAGCCTCACCATCGAAGTTTTGTCATTAAGATTGTTCTTTTTTCGACCATTGAAGTAATCATTTGTTCCAAAGTAATCAACGCTTTCAAGCGACAGAATTCGTGGACCGACCCGCTCCGGAAAAGCTCGACATCCTTCGCAACTTTTCATTCTATGGACATGAAGTGCTGTAGGTAGAGTGCGTGACAGTCAAGTACAAAGCTATCCGTATAAACACATCCGTGACACATACGTAACGTCATACGGGTAGTTGAAGTTGCTTCCAGTAGTAGTTGAAGATTAAATTATTGATATCTCAAGTATTTATAAAGTGCAACGCGTCTTCACATCTTAACAACTGCGAAAATCTATCAGTTAAGTACATACGACAAAGTGAATCTGCAAAATCGAATCTATTTAACCGTAAAGTTCCAGTAAGTACGTCATTTTTCTGTGAAACGTAATGCCTCAATACACCTCAAAACAGGATTTCCCGGCTATAATATTTTTTCACATCCTACTTTATCGACGATCGAGTATTCTTCGGGGTATTTACTTTCTAGTACGCCTGTATAATTACACGAAAATCAGGGGCCTCGATTCGGGAAAAATTACATCATTGCCAAACAGCCAAGACGTGATCCACTTTGCACGTCATTTTAGTCATCGTCTAAAATAGATTGCATGCTCGTCATAAGAGTCATTTGCATACAATGAAAGTCGTCACGATTCTTAGCCCCGGTTTACACCGTCTCCGCTTTGAACCTCGCTCTGCTAAAGCAAGCTCGACTATTAATGCCCTTTGGATCTTTGGTGGGATAAGGAAATACCATAACGGTACTGACTGTTGTCTTACACTTTTTTTCAGAGCAGTAGCTATTAAAAACAAATCTCATAGTATGTTTATTTAGGGTAACCATCCACCGACTAACCTCAATCTTTCCAAATGTCAAATGTGGAAGGACGTATAAAATGGATCAAAGAGCTTAAAAACTTTAAGGGCGTTGTAATCTATGAAAGCTTTTCAGGTATTAATGAAGTCACCTTGTGTTTCTCTGCGGTTGACCAACCATTGGCCAAGCTCGCCTGAGAATATCAGTAATTTGATTGATCCGTGCGTAAAAAGATAGCAAACACCTGTCAAGACTAACAATAAAATCTCTGAGAGGTTATTCTCATTCCATGCAAATTAATTTCCTGTGGTCAGGCGTGGTCACTTCAAACGAATTCGGCATAGCTAACGCAGACATTCTAAAGCATTTCATTCACAAAATTCTAGAAGAAGGAATATTTCCGTTGGATTTGACATAAGCCTCTCCAGATAATTTAAATTGT